GGGCCCCTGGAGCTCCGGCAGCCACTATCGCTGATTGTAGGAATGCCAAGGCCACATGCTTCAGCCGTTGGTACCGGATGCCGATGTTGGACGTGTCGAATTGATGAATACTATCGATGTTGTAGTGTTGCACTCCTGCCAACTCCCCCCATCGTCGTCGTTCTCCCTGCCACCGCCTACTTCCAACTTCATTACACAGAGATTCGTGTGTTTGATGTCGCTCATGCTCCCCGTGCTCCCAATGCTGCTGCTCCGACTCATCGTCTTTGACCGCCCATCCGACCACGGCGTCCACACCTCCGCATCCATAGTCGTTACAATTAGCGGTTTTTCCAGCATAGTTTTTAATGATTAGGATCCTTAAAACTATTCCTTCATAAGCATTATTTTGCACTCTACTCCTTTGTTGTTCATGTGGAGTATAGTTTTACGATCCTATACATTTCAAAGTATTATTAAGCAACTCTTTAGTTCACAGTATTTTTAAAACAGAGGAACAGGAAAAAACAGTGAAGTATGATAGTACTATATCTGCAAAACAAAGAAATGGTACACATAGAAAATTACAAACGCAAGTGTTCAGCTCACGAGAATAGAGAAACATAAATTTTGAAAACATAAGTGTTTAAGTTCATAGTAACAGAAAAACACCGGAATCCTAATAACATGATCAAGTTAAAATCCACATGCAAAGTATAATTAAGATGTTGTTACGTTTAAGTCGTTGAAGACCCCATTTCCGTTCTTGTGTAGGAAATCTAAAAGGAGGTAGGATGAGTTGTAATTTTTTTTGTTGTGTTTTTCCTTTGATACTAAGATCAAACATTTTTTCTCTATTTTTTTATTTTGCCCCATTCCTGTAAATTACATCGATGAATAATGTTGCCAAAAGAAACTTTTCTATTTCTACATGTTCCCTCCATTTTCCCCTATGAACGAAAGAAGCATGTGAGATTTTCAGTGGCCATCTCTCTTTATGCAACGACTAGTATTCAACAACAAATGTCTGCTACCCGTTCCTCATATCACAAAGCACTGTTGCGACGACTCCAAAGATATGCTTGACATAATACTATTGAAGATTCTGACTAAACAAGCATGACAAGAGAACCCCTTAGCCAGGCCAGCATATACCTCACAATATAGATACAACAACAACAACAATAACAATGATTGAAGCACCACAACCAATAAATGGCCTACCGATGGCTGCCGATGCTATGACTAGCTAAGCTAGGTCCATATGCCCGCGAAGAAGGCGGCGACACGACGAGCGGACTGGGTGACGAAAGCGGCGCAGATCTCGGCGGGGTCATCGACGCACCCCTGCCATGAGCACGCCTCCTCTAGCACATGCCCGCGCCCACGCCCGCCGCTAATGCGGTGCCAAAGGCGTACCAGGCAGCACCCCTGGCCCTCGCGCGCCCCGCCGCCGCTGCCACCCACCACCACCGCCGACTGTAGGTACGCTGAGGCCGCGTGCTTCAGCAGTTGGTTCCGGATACCGATGTTCGATGCGTCGAACTCATGGATGTTGTCGTTGTTGCAGTCCCTCCAGCTCCCCGCGCGGAACGCACAGCCGCCACTGCCATGGTTCTCCCCGCCGCCGCCACCGCCACCGCCTCCTTCCAACATCATGTCGCGTAGGCTCGTGTACTCGATGTTGCTCCCACACCCTGGGCTCCCACCGCTCCCGGTGCTGCTGCTCCGGCTTGTCGGCTTCGACCGCCCTCCCGATCGCGGCGTCCACACCTCCGGATCCATGGGACCAAATCGCTCACCGCCACCCCAATCGAATTCTTGTCTTGCTTACCCACAAGATTGTGTAGCCATCAATGAGGAGAGAGCGGAAATGAGAGGAGAGAAACGAGATGAATACTCCAACGGATACCCTTAGTTATAGGAGGGAAAAGCCTAATCCTGACCAACCAAAGTTGGCAAGAAACTCTCTACAATTCTGCATGCCTCCCTCCCAAAATCTTTCAATGCGGTTAAGGCGCAAAGGGAGAATCTAATATCTTCTAAAATTGGGTTTCGAAAATATCCTCTGCATGTATCCAGAAGGTAATGATAGGATATCATGTAAATGTATGAACTCAGATATGAACTCAGCATTGTGTGGCCAGAAAATTACAGACATCACATCATGATGATCCAGGTAAAAGAGAGCAAATAAGGAATATATTTCCTCCATTCCAACAAAACATTCACATTAAATGCGATACAAATTTCAATTTTGTCGGGGTACATATTCTCTTGTTAGAGTGCATCCATCCGATAACAAATTACAGAAGCAAAAGGGAAATACATTAACAGCAAAAGGGCAACCAAAACTTCCTCGGAGCAATCTTGGAAATGACAAATGACCCAACATTTTTGTTCCGTTCCAGGGAAATAATTGTGAGATATGACTAAGCATGATGATGTCGCAAACAATGTGCTCAGCCAACACAAAGATCTTCATATGCTTCTTCGTCTTGAGCTCATGGGGAACTGGGCCAAAGAGACGAGTGCTAGTCGGACCACGTGGTGACTATGGCTTTGTCATTGAATTTTGTCTTACTTTCTTAATACAGGCTTCCGTCCTACTCTATAAATAAAGTCATAGGCCAAACGATTCAAGGTGTTGGGGATATCTTCGACAGTTGGGGTTCTTTTAGTCAGAGGGTGGCCGCCCGATCGAAATGGATGGACAGGATCGTATGGGCGAGACGGGTCAGGCAAGACACCGCCTCTAGCTCGTGGTTAGGAGGAGCGGACCTGACCGAACCGGTGAGCGTCTCGGCTCAGTTGGACCACTAGTTCGTTCGCTGGTTCAACTGTGAAGACAAACAGATTCACTATGAATTGTGTTAGGGCATCTCCAACTCCACCAGCAAATTCGGCATCTGATTGAGTTGCTCATATGAACTGTGTTTGTCCAAATACATTACAATTCCTCGAATTGTAATGTATTTGGACAAATACAGTCCAACTCCAAATGAACACACTATCATCTCCTTAAGCCGCTCATGAGTTGGTCGATGCTGAATTTGTTGATGTATTTGGACAAATCATCAAATATGGCCAGATTCTGATTTGCAAGTTGGATAGGGTCACCCATGTTCTCAAATTTCAGATCTCCGGCAGCATATTCACCCTCATCCTCCATGATCATGTTGTGATGGTTTTTTTGTCCAAGGTTAAAGATGATACAGTTATGTGCCGATCACGGCTGCACATCAATTGCTCGACATTTTAGTTCATCGGGAAAGATGATTGACACCGAATGACACAACGGCTGAAAAAGGTGACAAGTGAGGACCTAATATCTGCTAAAATTGGATTCAAGAAATATATCGTGAAGCAGGGAGCAAATGTTATATGTTGTGAAAATGGAAGTCTGTCCTCCTCATGTTCCAGGAATGTAATGATAGGACACTCTGTAAATGTACTAAATCAATAAGCAGAAAATTACAGGCAGCGCGTGATGATCCAGGTAAAACAGAGCAAATAAGGAACATATTTTCGCCGTTGCAGCAAAACATTCAGATTAAATGTGCTACAAAACTTGATCTGCCGAGGGCTCCCTATAGTTTGGTACACATTCTCCTTTTAGGGTACATCATTCTTCCAAACACAAATTACCAAAGGAAAGGTGGAATGGCAGCAGGGGCAACCAAAATATCTCTGGAGCAATGTTAATTCCGCTCCATGTGGAAATAAAAGAGATATGACTAAGCAGGGTAAGGTCTCAAACTATGTGTTCAGCCAACGCCAAGATCTTGAGATGCTTCTTCTTCCTGAGCTCATGAGGAACAGGACCGAAGACGCGAGTGCCAATCAGCTCGCCTTTGTTGTTCACGATGACGATAGCGTTGTCATCAAACTGGACCTCGCTGCCGTCACTGCGTCCTTTCTTCATAGCGGCACGGACAACCACACCGTAGACCACATCACCTTTCTTGACCTTGCCGCGAGGTTGCGCTTCCTTCACAGAACCAATTATCATGTCCCCAAGCCTAGCTCCTTTCTTCCCCCTCAAGGACTGTATGCACATGACCCGCTTGGCTCCAGAGTTGTCTACCACCTTGAGGTTGGTTCTCATCTGGATGAATGTCCTGATTTGCTGAAACCAGAACGAGGACACAGTTCACCTCTTGGAAAGCATACATGCTTAAAGCAAGAAGCACTTCAAGAGAACTACATACTCTAGCAATAATACTGATTGCTTTTGCACCACACACGAGGTCACACGGTTCTCTTTCTTTTTTTCAGAAAAGTAATTCACTTAATCTCTATGATGGTTCTGAGAAAACCGAAAATAATAAGAAAAATGCTCATGAAGACTGAAGAGTAAATAAAATACTGCCTCATAAATGAAACCATGAAAAATGGAGTTCAGTATGTCAAAGGAATCTAGTTTATAATCCTTATGGCATTGCTGGCATCGACAGAAAGACACAGATCTTGACAGCAACTATAAACACAAGCTATTGAACTATATCAAGCAAACGACTTCATAATTAAATACCAAGCTGGGCCATGTATGTCATTGGGGGACAAACAGTCGACACTTTGGAACTTTTGAGTCGCTAACACACTATAAGAAGCTGACAAATCTCTTACAGGAATACTGTCTTAATTCTCTGGCTAACGAAAAATATCAGAAGAGAAGAAAGTTTGAGGATGTGTTGAGATAAATGAAACATATACACTTGAACAGAGCAGTAGTACCTGGCTGATAGCGTCACAGTGAGATGGTCTTGTCACTGTTTCAGCAGACGAATTGATACCCCCATACAGATTGTTTCCAACGCTTCCCATCAACGTACGCCCAACTGCATGGATCAATAAGCATTTACATGATGTAAATCAATTGCCTGAGCATCACATTGCAGCATGGTAGGCCCAAAAAAAAAATTTAATAGCAAGACATATTTGAAAGGAATCAAGGGCGCACAAGGTTTCAACTAGATACAGGCTTCCAAGATATCTTTTCTCACAGCGAGTAAATCGGCCGCATCTTTAGGAACCAGCTATTCTAGTTCCGTGAGCAAATTAATTGATAGGAATTAGGAAACCAATCGCAATCCACCTGGCCACGTCCTATCGGTACAAAGGTTGTTAACCCAGCAAACAAACAATGTGAACCATAGTCATGATATTTTGTCCAAGGTTAAGAACTTAAAATGATACAGATATGTCCTTTAGCTGATTCATCAGGCAAGACGATAGGCACAGGGGTTTCAACATGACAGCGGGTGAAACATGCATCCTTCATATGAACTGGTGATTCTTTTTTACTGCTGCTACCTCTCGAGTGGGGGTCATAGAAAGAAAAATTCTCACTGCCCAAGGACTTATCCATACATGGGATGAAAAGTGTGATGCGAGTGAGAAAAAATTGTATACCTGACGAGCACTTTGACCTCAGGAACGCCGCCATCTCCTGCAGTCACCCAAAGAATTTCCTGCAAACGAGAAATCCCGGAGCGAGGTTAGAGCCGACGCCGCGGCCGCGCACGAAACGGCAAGAAGAACGCGAACCCTACGGAGCCCTGAGAGATCCCTCGGGCCCGACCAACCAACCTCGTCGAACGAAGTGGACGCGAGGAGCTATCGGGTCCAGGGAGGCGGGGTACGGCGTCCCGGCGGCGCCGGCGGCGGCGACGAAGATAGAGAGGGGGTGAGGGAAATGAGCTCGGCGGAGTCGGGCGGCGGCGCCGGTGGTGGGGGGAGAGGGAATACAACACACACACAGAGGATCCTTCTGCGAGCGAGCGTCGCGCGGGCTGCTGCGGCCCAGGCCCATCGTCTTGGGCCTTGTCCATGAGGCCCACAAATGAATGGCAATAAAATCCTCAATGGCAGTGTGTGTACAGTTTGAGAAGTACACAGTAATATTTCCAGTTGGGACACGGCGTTTCGGTGCCTAGGCTCATCTGCACCCGGTTAGAAAAAAATTCATAAAAAATTCAAAAGAAAATAAAAAACCATTTTTTTGTGCGGTAGGAACTTTGATGCGTGAGGCCCGCTCCATTTCAAATCATTTGGACATCAGTACATGAACAACAAACTTTTTTACAGACCCCCAATTTGTCTTTTTTGCCGAGAGCTGTTCAGATGTATGATTTGAAAATTGGAGTGGACCTCATGCATCAAATTTTGTACCGCACAAAAAGAAATTGGATTTTTTTAAAAAAAAAATCTAGTGTACGTTTTGATTTTTTTTTTCGTGAGCGCGGGTGTAGAGATGGATTTTCGTTCGAGTTGGCCCTTGTCTCCTTTGTTGCTTTCTTTATGTGATTAAATATAGTATTTGCATCATCATCAGGAACTGATGATAATATTTCTGATGGGTATAAACAGTCACAAACTTACAACAATGCAAAAACTGATTTATGACAGAAAGACAAGTGCAGCCGTTCAGGAAGCTGAGAAATGAGAACTGAAGTGAGAAGCTCACTGGGGAAGCAACCAGGATACCAGGCAAGATAATGTGCCAAAGCTGCCAATCTACCAGGGACTGATGATATATATTTCTGAAACAAAGGAAAAGGATTGATAACCTCCCAACAAAATTGGACAAAATGTAGGACATCGCCTAGTCAGCATGTAACCGAAGGAATGGTTTCAAGGTCTAAGGAATAGCAAGAAAATCTGAAGATGACTCGAAGATACAGAGTGGTAGTTTTAAGATAACTCTCAAATACATGCCCGTCTGTGCTTGCTGATATGCTCAATCACTGTCAACCCTACAATTTGCACCTATAGGCATATCTCTGGTAATATGCTTACACTCACCATGCTTGAAACCTGCGATAGCCACAGAATTTTGAACCAAGATTTCAAACCACCATTCAGAGAAAGCCAGGGTTTGCTCAAAACCACAAGTACCGAAAGTACAGTGCACACACTACTAAACAAAAATGAACACAAAATAACAATGACTGGTTAACTACTAAACAAAAATGAACACAAAATAACAATGACTGGTTAATTTCATGATACTATTAAACGGCAGGAGAGCATCGTCCACGCAATAACATCACATGCATAACTTGCTCATAGTAAGTAGAAAACAAATGTTCACTGTCGTCTACAATCTGATGAAACACAAAGTACTCCATATATAGAAAAGGATCACATGCGCGCACACACAAAACTGTTTGGTTCCATTACTCTTCCATAAGATTCTCTTCGGTCTTCAGCTGAGAAACTAGAACCTTCTGCTTGGCTACATAGTTCTCGGTCTCCTTCTTGGGAACCATGCCGATATCCTGATCCAGCTCCTTGGCGTCGCTCTTTCGCACCATGCTCTTACCAGCCTTCTGTCTGTTATAGGAGAAAAACAGTGTGTGTTAGACGAAGAAACCACTCCCAGAATAAGCAGAAAATGAATAATCAAGGTACAGCAACCGACCTCTCTGTAATGTGTTTCTTCTGCCGTTCATGTCTGATCTTCGTGATAAGCGGGATGGCCTTCAGAGTCTGCTCAGTGACGTTACGGTCGTAGCGCTCCGGCCTGTTCCTCTTCCTCTCGAACTCAAACGTGGCATCCTGGAAGATTCAAACAATGATTCGATTATGACCCACACATCACCATCTAGCTACTGGCAGGATATAGAAGATGGGTCTGTCTAGGACACATCTAGACGTGACATAGTTATGTCACATCTAAGCTGATTTTCACTCTGTTTGTGGTCTATTTTTTTTGTCCTAGTTTTTTTTGTTTCTTGTTGATGCATTATATACTTGTGGGAGGTTAGATGTGACATCCTTAAAAAACATCTAGATGTGAATTAGACAAACTGATAGAAGATAGCAAAGCTCGTTACCTGTGTCATGTCCTTTCCACGCAGGCGCCTGTACGCCTTGGTCCACTTAACCTTGCGAGGGTTCCTCTTCATCTTGAAGTTCTTGTGGCATTTTGATCGGCAGAACCGAAAGATCTAACAAAGCAGAGGCAAGACCTGGTTACATGCTATGCCTGTATGCCATCAACCAAATCCACACAGAGGCAGAAGTTAAGCTACAAAAGCTACTACCAAGGCAGGAACGGCACAAGAATTATTGTATATTCAGCTTTTCGTAAGGCTACAGGTGTCCAGCCAGAACCAAATACAAGCAGAGGTGAAGCTAAACGGTTTATATTTATGAATTGAATCCCATACAATTGCTCTACATTCACTTTTTCATACGGTGTGCTTTCTCCCATGTTAATCTCTCTAAAAAAAATCAGAGGCGATGCAAGGCATAGGTACAGAAACAAAGTACTCCCTCTGTAAAGAAATATAAACGCTCTTATATTTCCTTACAGAGGGAGAACCATAGCTGTTCACCATCAGGTTCTTGATACGACGAGAAAGACCTAAGAAATTAGATGTAAGACCTGGTTACATGCCATGCCCCCAACCAAATCCAGATACAGGCAGAAGTGAAGCTACACAAGCTACTTCCAAGGCAGGAACCCCGCAAGAATTGTTGCATCTTCAGCTTTTGATAAGGCTACAGGTGTGCAGCCAAATCCAAATACAAGCACAAGTGAAGCTAGACAGATTACTTACGAACCGAATCACAGGAGAATTGCTCTATTTTCACCTTTTTTTCAATTCTGTGCACTTTCTTTCTCCCATGTTAAATTGATTCTCTCTGAAAAAATTCGTATGGCTACTACAGGTGTGACAAAAATACAAGCAGAAGTGAAGCTAAACATACTTTCAATGAACCGAACCGCATAAACAATGCCCTATTTTCACTTTTTCATGCCGTGCGAATATTCCTCGCCGCCAGGTTCTTAATAATACACGAAAATACCATGGCGCCCAAACATATGCCGATACCACAACCACATGGACGGACGGACGGACGGACGGCACCACAGGCACAGGCTACTGACAGAAATAACAGATATTGATAGGTGGATACCTTGGCGTCGTTGCGGACGAACTGGATGCCGTGGCCGGGGTAGACGGTGGAGGAGCAGAACCAGCACTTCTCCAACCTCATGGCGCCGCCTCCTCGGTGACCCCGGGCGCACGCGGCGGCAGCAGCTGATCGACGGATGAGCAAACGAACACCGTCCGCGGGTCAGAAAGAGGGGGGAGCGGACTCCAATCGATAGAACAGAAGGGGGGAGGCAAACCTTAGGTCGGCTGCGGGCGAGGGGACTCGCCGCGATGGGGGCGGCGGCGGCCGCCGAGGGAGGGGAGGGAGGGAGACGGGACGAGGCGGAAGCGGAGGAAGGGTTTGGCTGCGGTCGGCGGTGGGGGTTCTTCTAGTCGCCGAGCGGCCGTCCGATCGGAATGGACGGACAGGATCGTTTGGGCGAGACAGGGCGGGCAAGACGCCGCGTCTGGCTCGCGTGTGGAGCGGACCTGGCCGAACCGGTGTGCGCCTCGGCTCGGTCGGACCACCGGTTCGTTCGCAGGTTCAGGTTCAACTGTGAAGCCGGGCAAGATTGAGATCAAACTCGGACGGCAGAGAAGTTGTTGCAGCCTCGAGCGATGGTAATTCTTCCTCGGCAGCCAGTGTAATTTTTCTTTTACAAGATCAGCTGTACTTCCTTCGATTCATGTTAGTTGTTGCGGTCTTAGGACAACTTTTGTACAATGTGTTATACTATGACCGCGACAAGAACATTGATCGGAGGGGGTAGTTTATTCGAAAATGAGCAGAGAGACTCTCGGCTCGTAGAGGGACCCCGCCCAGTGGCAATTGTGCCCGTACCCCACGCACGCAAGATCGCTGAGCTCTCTCCCCATCCGGCCCAATTGCCGCTGCCTCTAGTAGAGGAGGTCAGGGACATAAAACTATTTCGACCGATCACTCATTTTCATTGTAGAATAATTTGTGATACTTATTATGCCTACACAATTTACATAAAACATGGCATACACTTTATAATCATTGAATTTATAGACGGTCTTCGATCATCGTTGCTAGAGGAAATAGGAATCGACACCGAGAGGCTCTAAATGGCAATGTATTTATCGATTGAGTGTGTGTGACACGAAGGTGCCCTACTCATCCACCGCATTATTTTAGCACATGAGTACGCTTTTACAGGCAGTTATGTTTTGCAATCTTCGCCTTTATGTTCTGTATAGTAATACCATATATTTCCCATGTCATATATAGGATCTCATCTCATCGGATGCACACTCCCTACCATAATCCAGTTTCAACAATTAGGAACAGTGGCCAAACACTCCGGAATCTTAGTTTAGACACCAAAAACATTGAAGAAAATTCTTACCATACACCACATTAAGACCACCCGCAAAAAAAATACACCACATTAAGACATGGCTAAAATCACCGATCACCGAATAGGCTACAAAATCTCGTATGTTCATCAACCACATAGCCTGGCTTCCTTGGACGACGACAACATCAGAAGACTCAAGAGCATGAGTAGGTTTATTACTACAAAATCTACAGTCACGAGGACAAAACATGATTTGAGCTTCAATAAGACTAGTCAGAACGAAAAACTAAGAAGCTTACTGAAAGCATCGTCCAATTTCACCATAATATAATTTCTAGGGGTGACTTCAAACGATAAAAAAATAGAAGATTGCATCACCTTCTTTTTACATTTTAAACTCATGTCCATGGTTTGTTTTATGTCAATGTTCTTCTTGTTGACATCGAACAATCATAGTATGTGACCGTAGCGGTGGCGGGCATGCATGTGATCTGGGTCGTGCATAACCCATCCCAACATGGGCGCGCACACAGCTTCGGATCCACCATGAGCGCACACAGCTTCGGATCCACCATAATATAATACTCGTCGCATGCACGTCCCATCCTTGCCGGTCATTGTCATAGCGATCATGGTTGTGCAGAATCTGCTCCACCATGAGCGCGTGCATGGTGGTGGTGCTCGTTGCAGGGTGGTCGATCCAAGTTTCGGTGGTCTCGCAACGCTAAAGATTATTTAGGGTTTGATGAAATATCCATCAATAATTTTAGATTTGTTTCTTTTGAGATGCCAAATGTTCCTTGTCTGCAAGCATGATTGACTTCATCCATCTACTGTGTGATTGTTATAGGTTTTACCTGGTCGACGAAGTGTAAAGTAGAAGGTTAGGAATTGGCTGCTCCTCTCTTTGCTTCTCACTTACTCTCTGATTTTGACTTGCTAATATGCGGATTTTGTAAAATGGATGTATGCAGATCTGGGAAAGAAGGGAGGAAGAGAATTATAGCGGATGGAACTGATTTATCTCTCTCATAAACGTGATTCTTTTTAGGTATAGTTTTCTTTATTCATCATTTTATTTTACGTGTGCGTCGGCTCGGTCGGACCACCGGTTCGTTCGCTGGTTCGACTATGAAGCCGGGCAAGATTGAGATCAACTGGATGGCAGAGAAGTTGTTGCAGCCTCGAGCGATGGTAATTCTTCCTCGGCAGCCAGCCTCAACAGCTCGAATGCCCTGTCACAACTCTTTGTGAAAGGAGACTTAGTCATCTTGCCGAGTAAGCATGATTCGCATGTCTCGAACGACCCAAAGCCGGTCGAAGTTAGGAGCCCATCATCATGGAGCTTCTTCATGCATTTCAGACTAATGTGTCCAAGCCGGCAATGCCAGAAGTATGTCGGATTTATCTCATTAGGCTTATGCCTCTTGACATTCACATTATAGACCGGTTCATGTTCTAGATTCAATATGAATAAATCATCAACAATGGGTGCATAGCCGTGGAACATACCATTCAAATAAATCAAACAACCATTTTCCTTTAAATTGAATTCATAACCCTGACTCATCAAGCATGAGGCAGAAATAATGTTCCGACTAAGTGCAGGAATGTAATAAAAATTATTCAATTCCAAAATAAATTCAGAAGGAAGCTCGAGCTGCATCGTGTCGACCTCCAACGCAGCAACTCTTGCGTTGTTGTCGACCCTGATGTCAATCTCCCCTTGCGCCACACACCTAGTTCTTACCAGCCCCTGCATCGAGTTGCAAATGTGAACAACTGATCCGGTATCAAATATCCAAGAGCTGCTAGGTATGTCAGCAAGGTAAATGTCTATAACATATGCAACAAGTGTACCTTTGCCTGAAGTAGCATTCCCGGCCTTCTTGCCATGCTCTGCAAGCCACTTGCTACAGTTTCTTTTCTAGTGACCAGTTTCCTTGCAATGATAGCAAATGGCCTTTGAGTCATGTCCAGACTTCGGCGCAGCGGCGGAGGTTACCGTCTCCGTGCCTTTTGCCTTAGCCTTTTTCTTGGACCAACTCTTCTTGAACTTAGCCGATTTCTGCACCATCAACACTTGATGCGTTCCTTTCTTAATATCCTGCTCTGCCACTTTGAGCATCCCATGCAATTCAGTGAGATTCTTATCCATGCCATGCATATGATAGTTCGAGATGAACGTCCCATAGCTGGGCGGAAGAGAACCCAGAACTGCATCAGTAGCCAGCTCATCCAAGAGCAGGAAGCCCAACCGATCCAAAGCTTGCACATATCCGATATCTTGATCACATACGGGCTCAGTGGATCACCTTCCTTCAGCTTACAATCCATCAAGAATCGCCAGACGTTGAACCTTTCGGTCCTAGCCTACACCTGAAACATACTCTTGAGACTCTCGATCATATCGAAAGCCCCAACATTTTCGAAATGCTGCTGCAAATCGGGCTCCATACAAGCCAGCATGAGGCCGCTGATCTCGTTTGATTCATCAACGAGTTTCTGGTAGGCATTCTTGGTTGTGGTACTAGCATTATCGGCAGGTTCCTCTGGAAGCGGATCCTCTAAAACATGTTCCTTTTTATCATGCTTGAGAACAATTCTCAAATTTCTATACTAGGTAGTAAAGTTTGTTCCATTCAGTTTATCCTTTTCCAGAATTGATTTCAATACAAAGTTAGGTTGAGCAGGTGGTGCCATTGATCTACAATAGAAAAATATGCAATCACTAAGCAACGTGTTTATATAGAGTAATTCTAGCCTTAAACAGAAATACTCCCACTGAAGTCAGCATCCCTCCGCAAAGTCTCAGTGATTCAGGATCCGACTAGCACATGTGACTAGTTAGCTTTAGCATCACTGCTAAACAACATGCCTATCCGGTAAGCAACTCCTTACTAATCGTATCTCTATACAACTCCTGTCGGTCGGGTAGGTATCTCATACCCCGGCTTCTGACCTCTTTTGCCGCAAGGCCCAAAACCGTTTTGATAGCCTTGTCAAGTTAACCTAATGAAGTGCATGTCCGTGTCCGACACGAACCCTTCAGTTCAAGGACACCTAGCAGCACCCCAATTTTATGAGCCCACTACTAGCCATACTTGGCGTGCGAAGGTGCAACATCGGGAATGGCAATTTACTTGATATTCATGAGAGATATTTCTACCATTCTAACATGCATAGAAACAAAGAAGCATAACAATCACAAGTAAAACATATATTGTGAAATAGTATGGCTCCTTCATGGATGTTCTTCCAGGTCGGCTCCAACTCCGATGACCATCTAGAAACTTCATCTTGTTTGTCACGCCAGGCCGCCAAGCCGCTAACCTGATCTCTATTATCCAAATACTACAACTAGTAATGAATTTTACATAGAGTCACAAGTCGACACGCAGATTGTTATACAATATAATGATAGCACTTTGGCTCCTGTCGGCTGACAAACATGGCACGCAGGCCATGTATAATTTACACACATGCATCACATACACATGAGCCATACTATTCACATCAACCCCTGCAAAATAAAGTTATGCATATAATCGCATTCTACCGGTTTTGAGTGATCGTGTACGAAATACAAGGCGCTACGCACAAGCCGGTCCCGCTAGCCGGTTAGCGGGCGGGGTTCGAAGGGGCAGCGCCCCTCGCGGGTGCGGGCAGCGCCCGACGTTTTTGGAAATCACAGATCACATCTGAACTCCGATCACGCCGAATTCTCTGATCTGACCGATCTTATCGATCATCGCAAGCCCGATTCGGTCTTACGTTTCACTGTTAACCCCCATGGTGG